ATATCAGGCTAAGGACTCTTCTCCACGTTGTCTTCCGGTGCGCAGTAACTCCAAAACGGGATTGGACCACGGTAAAACAAACGTGTCTCTGTGGCTCATTTTGCCTTGCAGAAGCGGATGACATTGGGCAAGGAGGGCGCAAATATGCGGAAGAAGAAAAACGGAGAAGTCAATCGCAACTTACTTCAATTATGATGAAGAAGTCATCTCCGGGGTCCCCCTGTTGGACAATACAGTCGCCCATCTCGAAACGGACCGGCTCCAGGGCATCAGCCACCGTGAGTCTTTCCCACTTCTCCAGATTGTCTACAAGGCGAAAAACAAATGGAGGGGCGGTTGATTTTTTTACGCATGGCAATAGGGGGGCATTAAAGGCGTGGAGGTAATAAACAGGTCGTTAAAGGATGAAACAGTTCAGCATCTTCGGAGGCAGAACGGGACCCGTCTAGGGTGTCGTGTAGAGCAACTGCCAAAAAGGCAAGCCAGTGAAGCTTTAAAAAATAAGCAAGCTGGCTAGCCAGCCGGCTAACTTATGCAACTTTGCAGGGTTCGATGACAGCAAGTGCTACCTTACAAATTGAATTTTCACCAAAGACTAGTGACCAGAAGTCGTATCATCAGACCCGTGAAAACCGAATGGTTTGTTTGGTGATAGGGCTCAAACAGATTGCAGTGCCAAAGCAGAGCCCTTGGTCAGATCGAAAATTCGAGCGCTTTAGTCTGTTTAGGTCCGACTGCAAGCACATTTGGTGCGAAGGCGTGGGAGACTTCATATGGAAATTTTTGCGAATTGTGAAATTAAGTCAACCCAAGCAATTCCCCAACCTTAAGCGTTAGACACAACAAAGGGTAGGTACTAGCGCCATGTCGCTTTGGTTGAATGGGTGCAGTATGTCCCTCGGATTGCGGGGATCTTCGTAGCTAGATCAAAAACGGACGAATAGCGACGTACCATGCAACAACTGTCTTAAAATGGAAATCCACATAAACATGATCGGACGATGCAAGTGGATCGACGATTTGACATCCCAAACCGACTGCCGCAAGCGAACAGACAGATTAGACGAAGCACTGGTGACTTGCGTATGAACTAG